TAAACAAAAGTCATGAAACAAATGCGAATAAGGAATGCAGACCAAGAAGTTGAAAACTAGTACAATAATTGTGTGACAACTAAATATTCCTTTAACGCAACCAAGTAGAACAGTGATGAGAAGAAAAAACCAATAGAATATGTTCTTGCAAATAGCGCTGCTGAGAAGGGCATGACGATGAGCGTCCATTAACAATGACGTGTGTGTACCAATCGGGCGAACCAAGTAGAGCGTTTAAACAACAGTCAAGAAATAGAAAATAGGAAGAGTAAAGAATAGCTATCAAGCTCGTTCACAATAAATGAATGTCTAATAGCTGTTCTCCTAATACACCCCCCATGCTTATTGAGAACGAGGCCGGTGGTGTGGCACAGTGATTAAAGTGAGCGGTATTCGGCATACGTATGATCACCTAGCTTTCAGTAAATAGTTACTCCATGATTCGTTATAGTTATCGAATTGGTTTACCCACTTTCGCATCTTCCTTAGTCTACTTGTGACCACATGTTTCGAACTGAACTACCCTTGCTTGTCTTCCAGCGCGCTTAACGTCCTTTGTGGTTACTCAATCTGTTACACGAGTTGGTATTTTCCTTCAGTCTTTTAGCTGAATGGTCTACTACATCGTATCGAATGTGGAATCTCTCTACCTCATGGCTGGCGGCATCCGGTTTCGGATTTGCCTGTCACTGTTGCCAGCCACAGGACGCCTGCGCCTACAGAGGGACCACGGGTGGCTTACGCTGCACCACCCACAGCTTCAACCACACACCATATCCAGTGTAAACCCGAAGAAATAAGACCGGGAGGCTTGTGGATGGGGACCACGTTTCATCAACGGAGCCGGCCCACAATCCTTCACAGGCAAACACAAACACGCTGTATTTGGGGAATGAGGCGCACACAAGGCGGTGGCTGGACCGTAGTCCGCTCCACACTGAGTGCATGGAACCGCTCTTTGAGCCTAGCACGGCCACAAGGACCGTGCACCCCGTCCCCTCCAGCAAATACCAACTGTCTCCTGGAGCCAGTATGAACGAGGTAGTGGGTAATAGACAGGTAGGCACCTTGTCAACATGCACATCAAGCGCAGCCACACCGGGGATATCAAACAACAATCATTCACTTTAAACGACAAGCTGAAATAAAATAAATCCAATATGGCATACAGATACGGTAGAATAACTCTTCCCTAAATAACCATATGAAGTAAGTTCGTTAGCAACGAATCCGCAATAAGTAAGAAATGTCCACAAGTTACCTATAAATGCTACAAATGCGACAAAATTACCGAAGATAAGCGCAATTAGTGTAAGCAACGTGGCCAGTTAATAGAACATTATTTAGGTAGGCAGAACAAACCAAATAAAGTGGGATGAAATTTATCCAGCTTAAAAGACCTAGTTTAAGTGTAAGTTGGTTTAGCCCAACTGCGGTGAAGAAGCATCAAGAATGCAACATCATACTGACTTAATTAACAACAATCTCCCGAGAGTCAAGTAAACAAATAGTGGGGTCCCATTACAACGCCTCTACTGAACTGAACGGCATGCAGCGGGCGATCATCAATTGGACGTTAGTTCTGTGTTCTGTTCTAAACACGACGATGGACGTTTAAGTGCCTCCACCTCAACAAATTCATTGCCTGTGGTGCCGGTTTAATTACTATGACCCCATCACGCGTGTCCTGTGCTGGGTGGCCCAGTGACGGTTTGTTGTGAGAAAGGTATCGAACCATATGAAAACGGAAGTCATGTCTTTGGATTTACAGTTCGGATCCGCTGTCAACGCCTGTGTTTCAAGGAGTTTGACGATTGGCTTGGGTGCCGACATACACAGTCACTAAAGGTAATTAGTAGAGATAATTGCAGGAAGCCGGACAAAGTCGTTTCACCAGTGAAGTTTGACACAGCAACCCTGAGTTATTACGATGAATACCAACTACACCGCAGTGCAGTGTAAACACTGATGCAGTACAGGCAGATTGCACACACACACCGGCCTTAATGGATCCCGTCGTGCACCGGCGATCGTAATGATGACAGCTGGCAGGTGCATTTGGACACTACTGTTTATCATGTAATAATTAGACAAAAGAATGGAAATTAAACTCATACTGACGTCCACATTAGTCGAAGTGTTTAGTTCTTGATAAGGTATTTTTGATTTTGCTTTTGAATTTCTCTGAAATAAAGGCTATTAAGCTTTACGACTTAAGCGATACCGTGATGCACAAACGAAGATATACAAAGCAATTAAGATGTTCCATTTTCTAACTAAAACATCGAAATGGTATAAACCAGGTCGCTGCGCCCAGTAGATCTATCCATCTAACATGACAACGTGATTTTCATCTCTTCAAAACTAGACTTCGGAGCTTATTTGTGAGCGCTTTGACAGTTTGGTCATTCTATACTTCTTGTGTAGCTTGAGACATTCATTATTAGTGGTCGGCAACCAATAGATGTTGTCTTTATGTTGCAAGCAAAGTTCTCAACAAGATCTGTATCGCCACAACTAACTGAACGCCACACCATCTTCCGTTTAGCCTGTCTGGAGTTTACCCTTATTTCTCGGGAAGCAAACCAGGATTCCATTTTAGTGAGTTTCGGACTGTAGGCTTTAAATTTCGTATTACACTATTTCGAAGAGTTACCGGAGGATCATTACTGGAGTTAGGTTGCGATACTTCAGTGGCTCTAGTAAATCAATGGAATGGTTCTCAGAGTAAATTAATGCAACACCATCGTATTTTAAGGTGCCACCAGAGAGAACTTACGATAGTCAACCTCTATCAGTTGCTTGTCGAACATCCGGAGTGCAATTGGATCTCCAACTAAATCCTTTCTCTGTTCTCCGGCTTAAATTGACCGCAGTGTACATAAACATTCTGTGGTAGGAAGCAACTTCTTTCTGTTGCGGCGCAATCGTCATTTTGCTAAAGTCGATGCACTGACGGCACCTCTAGGGACTCCGTGGTATACATGACCACTGTGTGGTCCATTACTAAGGATGGTAGGCTGCACAGTTGGCAGACGGGCGTCGGGTATCACTCTGAGTATAGGAACAAAGCAGAACTGATGTTTGTGAAACGAGAATTCATGTATGATCTAACAAAATGTAGGTCGATTCACAGCTTCTGTTCACGTGTATTGACACTTTTTGAATTAGTTTTTCGATTTTATATGCCCAACTTTCATCGACCTGTTCACACCAGCGCGAACCAACCGTCAGTCGTTCAGCTACCTCCTGTGTTTGAAATAAAGGAACCCTTTCAATGTTCCGAACGAGAATGTCAGCCATTGTGTTCTGGGATGAGGCAGTTATTGCGCTCATTCGAACCAACATTTTCATCTGAATGGTAACCATATGGACTTGATAAACCAATGGGAAAAATTCCATTTGCCGTGTGCCCTTGAATTACACTTACGTACCGGTTCACCCAAAGCCTGTGATCATACGAACACATTGGATGTACACAGATTATGCCAGACATCCGTCTGTGTTCGGACGTCCATCACACATCTTTTCACTAGACCATGGTCCAGTGAATCTCATGTAACGTACCAGGAACGTGCATTGACAGCAATGCTCATACGCAGGTGCGTTCGTCATGCAACAGCACAAACATACTTGTGCAGATTGCGTTGTGCCAATGGTTTGGCACCGTTTCCCACTCATCTGATTAACACGCCTGAAACGGCAGCGTCCTATCAGGGAGAAGAGTTTGCTCAAGGAAACCAGCCAGACAGCCAATGAGAGACGAGCATGGCGGATTTGATTATTAGTAGTTGACTAGTCGTTGTCCACCTGCGCTACGGTCAGTTCTTCGTCGTTTGTTTAGCCGAGTCATGGAAGGAACCTCATCGGCACAAAAAATTCGTTGTTTATGCAAGTGTACATACAAGATATTTCCAAGCGTTTTGTGTCAAACATGCTGTGCTTTCCATTGATTTGACTGATGAGCAAACACTTGTTCATGAAGGATTGAATGCTGCAACCATACCGTGTAATACTGGGATAAAGGTATAGGTAGTATGACTATTGTCAGGATCCAGAAGGCGTATATGCGATTGGCTAACATTCATCATCCGTTTGAATTCGTATAGTATGGGAGATTTCGCTAGGGTTTCATGGAACATACTTTAAAGCACGCAAATTTTCTTGATCCGAAAAGTCGTGTAGTACCCTGTTCCGAAGGTGGAATGACTCTAACCCTAGCTGACTTATTCAACACCAGCCTAGTAAAAAAATAGAGGGGTTGGTTTAACTCTCCGCCACTGGAATGAGCGTCATTCAACAGGTCGAGTTTCTATGAAATCGTCAAACCATGAAATAACAAGGAGGGTGAGAGTATTGGAGAGATGGTCTGGCTTGTACTCATACATGCGATGGTAGTAGAGGTATTAATATAAGTTTACAAGCATAGTACCACAAGTAGAACAAGTCAAACAGTGACCGACATTCGCATAATAACGGGGTAACAAATTTGCCCTTCCGAGGCTTATTGGAAATGTGCACAACCTCCGCCGGGTTACAGTCTATGTGATTGGGTGTGGTTGGGATGCACGTCAGTTATCCTATGAACAATAATCTACCCAGAGCATTCATAATTCTGGTCTGCATACCGAATATGGGCAATTGCTGCCTAGTGGTCTACGCAAATCTCTTCACGACAATAATACGCAAAGCAGAGATGACTGAATGGTGCTACGACACAAGTAGTTTTCTGGTTATGTCGGCCACCGGTATCCACTCCGCTTAAGCCACTGGTTGGAGCATTTGAAAAGGAGTTTCTAGACTCTCAGTGGGCGGAAAACCAAGATTTGCTAGAAGAGCATCAGAGAGAACTGTACGCAATTTAAGCTTGAATTCCCCCCCCAGCGTTCTTAGGAATGTAGTCAGATACTCTCCGAACAGAGTTGAAATTAATCCAGAGAAACGCACCAGTTTGTTCATCTGATTCGCAGCTATTAACCCAATGATAAGTAACCAATCTTCAATATTATATTTTACAAATTCTGTTCAGCTGAAAACTGTACACAATAAACAGTATTAAGTGGGCGCGGAGTCCAGTATTCCTTCACTCTTCTGGATGATCCATTATCACACACGGCTTAGGATCTCCAAATATGTACATCTGGGACGGGGCTGGCTGCACCCAAGGTATTTGTCGACAGTGGTAAACGTTCCACAGACAGTATGACACAGGCATCACAATTTGAGATTAGGGGGCTAAATATGTTGTCTCACTGATACTTGAATTTTCATCTAGGTTGTCTGTGCTACACCTTTGGAGACAGAGTGGAGTTCTTTTCATCTGCGTCCATACCCAAAAGGCAGCTGATGTCGAAGCTCCTTTTTGGAGGGTAAGCTTGTTCTACAACAACTGAGGGAGAGATTCTCCTCCGAATACCGGTTTTATGCGTTTCAATAGTGTGTGGTTGCCAATGGCCGATCACAGATAGATCATTTCCAATCCTTTGCGTGGGCATTTTATTCTAAAAGTGAAAAACGACAGTGAAAGTAAGTTTTAAAATTTGCCGAACGTAAGAGTAGCACAGCCATGAACTACTGAAGAACAAGCGTTCCGACAAGCCCACCCTGTCTAAAAGATTTCATGGGTGAGTGAATACAGATCGAGCAAAAGCGGCATTGAAAGGATAGTTAAATTTTAAGATCCAATTGCAAAACAATTTGTCGCTTACAAATCTTTTTAGGCATGTACACTCGCGGGTCGTGTGTTAGTCAAACATCTAGTTATTTTTAGTTTAGTTTGGATGGTATCGGGCTGCAGTGGGTACTGGAAGACACGCACGCATCAATCACTCTGAGTAAAGACGGCCTAAGACAGAAGCGAAGGAGCTTAAGCATCGTTAATCCGCAATGAGAGAGGAAAAAGTGCTGGAGATCGGCCATTGTTGCGGGCCAGACTATGTCGATGCAATATTAAGTTAAGAAAGCCCCATAAGAATACAGGCGTATGAGTATTCAGCCGTAGTACACACGCTTTCCGTAAGGTACCGTGATACAATGCAATACAAAAAAGCGGAAAACCCATCGCCCTCACAGCTCAAATTGGTTGATTATTTCTCGAAAGATTTCGCTGGGGCCTTGCGAATTCGTGCTGCGTGAGGGATGAGTGGCGATCTGTAGGCCCATGCAAATGCCATACACGAAGTCGTGCTTCTCTCTGGTTAACGAACTTGACACCATCAGATAATGCGCTATGAGGGGGGGGTGACTTGAGTCCCCAAGTATCGCTGACGCGTTTCTTGCAAGAACTAACATATGTGAATAAAAAATGCCAACAAAAGTTCGCTTTGATACACCGCTACATCAGGGCAAGTGTTTTGACAAACTGATGAGTACTCTGAAGGAATCACTCGATAGAATGGGGAAAAATCACTGGAAGAACCCAGACCAAGGCAAAACAAAGTATGAACACATGATGGCCAGATGAGGATGCCACATAGGCAAGGCGTAACGACAACTTGACTGTGACTTTCACCGATCCAACGTTGAAAAACGCGCAGCTGATGAATCCGAAAAGTAGAGCAAGTTTGCATCGCAACTACTATGCTGGCAAAATATATGGTTGGCGGCATCCGGTTTCGGATTTGCCTGTCACTGTGGCCAGCCACATGATCCCTGCGCCTACAGAGGGACCATGGATGGCTTGCGCTGCGTCACCCACAGCTCCAACCACACCCCGTATCCAGTGCAAATCCGAAGGAATGAAACCGGAAGGGAGCCAAATTTCATCAACGGAGCCGGCCTACACTCCTTCACAGACAAACACAAGCACGCTGTATTTGGGGAATCAACCGCACACAAGGCAGTTGCTGGACGGTAGTCCGCTCCACACTGACTGCATGGAACCACTCTTTGATACTAGCCCGGCCACAAGGACCGTGCAACCCGACCCCACTAGCAACGACCAACTGTCTTCTGGAGCCAGTATGGACGAGGTAGTGGGTAACAGATAGGTAGGCACCTTGTCAACATGCACATCAAGCACAGCCACACCGGGGATAGCAAGCAAACAGTCAATCACTTGAGATAACAAAGAAAATAAATCGAGTAATGCATAAGGAAACGGTGACATAAATCTCAAATTAATGAGCATATGATATAAGCTGTTTACTAGATAATCCGAGATAAGTTCACGTCAGAAAGTATATTTTAAGAAAATGCCACAAACACGAAAATGTTATCGAAATTAGATACAATTGGCTTAAGCGACCTGTGCAAGTTTATAGAAAAGAGTACAGTTAGACATATATATGAGAAAGGAAACAATTAAGACAAAATTGGAAACCCACCACCTGCAATAAAAAGACTTAGCATGCAAGCACGCGGTTAGTAAATCGAATTCAGCGTGCTTACAAACGCTGAGCCGGTTCTGCCTACGTTCTCTGCAGGACCCGTCGTCGCGTCGGTCGTGGACCCGAGTGGCCTCGCTCATGGCTCACTAGGCCTGCCTGACTCAATCACTCGCGACCGCAAGTACTACAGCACCATGCAAACGAAGTCGATGGAGTACAACCCATCTGTGCTTGCGGTAGCAAAATATATACAGTTAAGTGAATCAGGCATACCTCAATTGTTCAGGATCCCGGTGTATCCCGTCAACAACAAAATGTAATTAAATCACAGGGAGGAAGGTGGTATTCAAGTCAGATAGCCAGAGGACAATGTGCCCACGATAGACATGTAAAGGTATTAGCAAAGGCAACAGCCAGTCATTGATGGCCCAATCACAGATTGAGGAGTGAGTGGTTAACAGAAGTCACACATACCAGTAAACGGGGTGTCAGCTTTGATGGCCAGAGCGTCACTCAAAGAACGTGGTAGAAATATTACAAGGTCATGGAGATAGCGACATGATACCTAGTGCATTGGGCATCTGTTACCGATGTAACCAAATTAAATGAAGTCAAAAACTGTCAGTGAGAGAGAATGAAGGTGTAAATCCGGTGTGAACCACTGGACAAGAGTGTGAGACATACAGAGCATTGAAGAGTTATTAAGGCAAGTTCATGGGAAGGGTATGAGGGTGATCATATTATCCGGATATTCTTTGAGGATACGGTTTGGTGCACGAGCGGTCATTGCAACCACGAAGAGAAGTCATTTGAATGAACGGATAAGTACACTCCAAATGTCAATAGAGAACACGTTTCAGATAAATTGCCCAATCAGTGCAACACTTCGCTACATCGACTTGTGAATATTTCATCCGCATGATGGGAGCATGGTAAACCGTAGTGATGCCTGGATATTTCACTGATTTGGTACAGTGTAACCCCTCACCATAGATGTGGGTTTTGGGGGACTAGAAGCTGCAGAAAACGACCCCATATATGTAGTAAAATACATCAATGCAATCTGACGCGCAGTGACAGCTTGCGTAATTCGATCAAAAAGTGTGATTATTGTTTATACCTTGTAATCTGACTGAAGACGCAGTGGTCAATTGATGGACCTCTGAGGTAACGTGGTCCACATAGTTCGGTAGATCCGTCGCTGACCAGAAGGACCACACGCCTGCCTTGTTATCCGGATGTCGCGGGTTCCAGCCAGCCTAGGGGACCTGGCCGCCCTGGCAGTATGCTTAACCCACGCGCGACTGGTGGTGTTTGCGTGGCAGCTAAACGTCGGTACTTCGTACCAGCCTACTGCTGATACCTCTCTTTCTCGCCTCCTAAGGGACTGGTATCGATCCGACGTAAGTGTAAAGTGGAAATGGTGAGGGAATTCCTCCCTGCAGAATCCAGGTGTTCTTGATTATAGGTGAGGAATTGCTGCGTCCTAGCCGTATAGTCTGACTGTGACCGGGAAGAGTAAGCCTAAAGGACAGAATGCTGGAAGGATATAATCCAGCACCGAACAGATCTTTCAACAACGATTCGCGATCTATATGGCCAAATGCACTGCTGTCGTCAAGCGGGCAGAGTTGGGTGGACTTGATTCTACCTTCTAGTACTATCGTAACAGAATACACGAAACAAACAACTGTGTCTTCGGCAGATCTGGGACTGCAATAGATAGCTAGAAGGAGATCGGTCGATTGCGCCTGTGTCAGCATCCTTTAAGGACACTGAAGTGCAAGAAATTGGTCGATATTTGCTTGACCACTCATTTAGTACCGGTGTAATACTGGGAAATCACCAATAGTCAGCTATTTATTGCCGTTGCATGTACAATGTATATACATTGATTTCCCCGAAGATAACGCAATGAGCCAACAAGTTAAATTTCAGTCCCAACTTCAAGGGATAGTCTGACGTGCTGTGACATAGATATACTGATGATCGGCGAAGATCACACACTCAAGACGCCTGGAACCACCGGATATTCTGACGCGTTCTACAAGAATTAGTTTCAAAGACTAAGTGACGCAATCCATGCACATAACGAATGTTTGGAAACACCACGAAATCCGCCCCGCAACATTTATAACTGCTCTTCAAATAAAGCATTCCTTCAGGGTTTTTAACATCACACTGCTAACTGCAATGAACGAAGTCTGCATATTCGTGGGAGTCGTTAGTCCTAACAGAATCAATCCGGTCATCACCTAAGGCAACACTTACAAACTTCCAAGCAACTGTGCATCTGTCGCTCCCCATCTATTCGACTTCCTCTCGTACACATGCAGATGTCAGGGAACGGTTCTGCTTTTGTACACTTGTATGAATGAGACCGTTTTCAGGCGCCTAGTGGTCGAAACTAGATTAGGGATAAGATCGTTGTGAGAATCTGCTGCACCGGAACGGAGAGTAATTGTTGTAGCGACCACTTACTTGTCCAATTAGTCTAGTTACTGCTTTGCAATTTGCTAGTCTTTGTCCGTTTACATTAGCCCAACCATTTAGCTAGAAGCACCATGCAATAACTCAACCACCTGTGTCGGCGATTGCTCAATTGGCTCAAGCGTAGTCAATGTCGTAACATCAGGGACGCACGAAGCACCTGTTGGCCATCGAGCTCAGGCAATTTTAGTCAATTATGAAGCTAGGAAGCACTCATGCCAACCCCTAGCATGAAAAGACCATATCCCTATGTGTATTGGTTGATGGTAGGATTGATTAATTGTATATTGCATCACGTTAAGAATGAACAACTCCAGTATCCTCTACGGCTTCAGATAGCGTTTGCGCATTTGTGAGTGAATATCAACCGAATCGACACATGGTTCATAAATATATTTGCCGGATAAAAATTGTCAAGCAGACACGCTTTACGAATGTAGATGTGATTGTAACATGCCGGCGTAGTATGATTACGAATGGTCCAAACTCGCTGGCTGGCTCTATTGCTCAGCACAACCCAGACTATACTATATGCAAAAGTCCCCGCGAATTGTTCAGCTGGAATTCCATTAGCTCTATCACACACTGATAAACAAACCGCACTCTGAGAGACAGATTTCTTATATCTGGCTAACTTCCCTTAGTAAAGTGATAAGATTGCGCAAAACGATTTATTGGAAGTTATTCAGGCATTCACCTTGTTTAAACTTCCGCGTCCTTGAACATGACCCATTGGGAACTCAAGTTGGCCATTATGTATGAGTGGCGATACCGTTCCTACAAACGGCCAGGTTCAAGCAACTCACGGTCCATGAACAGTATTCGTGATACACTCAAGATTTCACTCACCAACTCCTTCAGATCAGACTGTGACCCTGACGGGTCAGTGCTTTCTCGCGATTGGAAACCTGGGTTGCCGACAGTATTGGTTCCACATGAGCCGTTCACGCTCCAGGCGGTCCTACACCGATCACCAATCGGATGTTTCCTTAAGGGCGACAAAGGCAAGGTTTCCGGCATATTAAAGCCACTGGTATCCAACCTTCGTTTCCAAGATTTCCAGAACAAAGGAAAGGGGAAGGAGTGGGGCGCAGGAAAACCTTCATGTGGTGCTTCCAGAATTTCCTTTCCCACTGGAGGTGAATTTCGAGTTCCGTGTTGTACGTCGCCCCAATGAGGTAAGTCACCATGCGATGAACCCGCATCAGCGGCAACGGGACATGGGTTTGCGCAGTGATGAACTGTGTGCTGCGTTCCAGTGTCTTGAGGAGTACTACATAGGCCATCTGAATAGGTCATAAAAAGCACAGAGAGTTGAAGTCAGTTTTCCTGCCTTTATTCCCACTGTTTCAAACGAATACAAATGGGTCAAGAGAAAAATGAAGAAAGCATACTAGGTGTCCATAACCTTCCTGAGCTACGTAGCATTTGGATGCCTCAGGTTCAACCTGAACAAAAGAATGGAGCCAATGATTTCAAGGGTACTCATGTACAGGTGTGCGGTTTTGCCATAAGTTGGCGCATATTCTGTTTAAATTATGATATTGTGAATGATTCTTGTTGTGATTAGTTAGCACATAACAGAGAACTCATGCACCACCGCCTAAATGCCGCATAAATCGGAGTGTGCGTGTAAAAGCGATAAGGTCGCAGCTAATTTCTCTGGAATCTAAGGCCACCGGAGGAACCAGCGGTATCGGGATAGTTTCTATTACTGCAGGATAATAGACGCCAGCATTAACAGTACACGTAGCTCCAGCCACACGCTCGACCTCAATGTACCTAAATTTCGAACATTAGATAACACAGGTTGAGTGTAGTCGTTAAGTATGAAGCGCCCTACAGGGTAGCTGGTTTCGACTGATGCTTTCTTGTCGTTTATTATAGATCAGTTCTCAGAACCGGACACGTTTGTTGCAAATGTTTCACCAACAATCGGCATATGCTACTAAGCTGTCTACTAAACGCACTCAAGATGCCCCCTCAATGGGTGATGAAAGGCATTCACCACAATTGTCCGACTGGAAAAGTCAATCAACTTCCTTCCCGTTTACGTGGGGAATTCAAAACAGTCCCAGTCTTACCGTGCCGATGAATAAGGCGATGGATTTGATTATGTAAATCAGGGGGGATCTCCTCGAATGGAGGGTAAATCTGGTCTCCTTCCGACAGCGGTGCCGAATCACACTCAGTGGACTGCTCCGAGTTCGCGTACGAGCTGAGCTGATTTATGTTTGGGTAGGTAGGTGATATCCTTGAGGGAATTTGTTGGTCTTGTGGAATCCGAAGTTGATCGGGAGTCTGGTATGATTTGAGTGAAGACAATGGTGGAGGTGGTCCATCGTGACACCGGACGTGCTGGCGTCTGAAATTGAAAAATAGTAGAATAACTCTGACCGCTTGAGTACATACCTCAAATACAAAAACGAATTCTCCAAAACGGTCGCTTCATTCTTTAGGAAAAGGCACTTGGGGAATCCATAACTTAATATACGTATGCGACTCCGCGTGCCATCGTTGAAAGCAAGCTAATTAGCATTATGTCACATTGCTACGATCCTGATGACATTTATTTACATGACGTATCTTGCTACATGCCCCACGTTGCTTGCAGATGTTTTTCTAGAGTGGACAGGTACTTGCTCCAGTGCGCCAGTTATCTCTGGTAGTAAATACGGTATACCGGCTTTGTGTTTGTGTTAAGCCCGAACAGGGCCTCCACCATAAAAACATATAGCGCTGCGGGCCCCAGTTGCGTTGTTCTGACACGTTTTCTTCTTCTCTAATGCTTGCAGCAGTGTTTCGCTAATGCACATCAGACATAGAAGAGTCAGATGTACCCAAGGTATGCATTTACAATGTAAGCAAATTGACAATTCCCGGGGATCCACTCAGTCAAACTCATCTACTCTTGGGTGATGAATTTTGGATCGCGTGCGTATTTATTGCACTTCAGGCAGTGCGCTTGCGAAGCGAGTTTTCCTATTTACTGTGGATGTCGTTTTCTGTCTTTGGCATAACGTTAGTATTAAAAAGGAACTCTCTAGGCAAACAACCGAGGTGCCGATCGCCGCGATGCGGAGCCAAAGCATGGCCGTGAGACACCACTCTTCCGCATGGATTGTACGAACAGACGGCCAACTGGGTGAACCAGCCACTCAGCAGGACAGAAGTATTGCTTGACTGGTAATAAGTTAACCCTTCTAGAGGTTTCTACACGAACTTTATATCCTGTTAACGAATGTTCGGTCTGACCATTACATCGGACTGTATGACCAGCAAAAGCTATATCCCGTCTCCTCTCTGCTCTTCCGAAACCGGTCTTTTCTCTTTTCTGTTGAGGTGAGTGACCTCGAGTTTCCGATCGATAGCCGGCCGTCAAATCAATCGAAGGATGACCACTTAAGTAAGTCAACTACACTCACGCAAGGACTTGTCACTGTTCCCAGTCAAAGTGACTGGTTACTGTGCAAGCGGCGGCAGCTAACTTTGTGGTATTCACTGTTGTGTAGCCCTCCGAACTCTGAACACATAATGGGCCATGTGCGACTTATAATAGTCTCTTTGGAGCCTCATATATAGCGCACATTAGTGGTTGTTCTTTTCGATCAATATGACTCGTGGTTGGTACCCACAGTATTCCGTTGCTGTTTCACGCGACAAATTCCATTGATCGAATGCTGCTCAGCTTCTGTGGACCGACAAACCGGTCAAGTTGATCCAGAACTTTACAATGAAATACGTGTTGCCGCCATCGCTTGGGGCCAATCGATCATCAGAGGTTTGGATCCATGCGATTGTGGCTGCATGCTCCCGATAATGATGTTTCGATTTACTTGTCTTGTGATTTTTTCCTAAACCTGTAGTTATTGCTGATTACGAAGGAGGAACACGAACTGAAAACAAGCAGCAGACATGGGTATTCCAGGGTGGGGACAAGCGAAACGATTTATGAGATCGGCATCTGTGCGTGACTGTTTCCTTTGGCTTCCGCTTATTAGCTCATGTTCAAGGCGAAGCTGCCCCAACGGATAACAATCTCCTGGAACGTACCCAACGAGGTCATCTCCGTTCGGTGAGTGGAATGCGTATAAGCTTCTGACTAAAGATAATGCCCGTAAATTTATATGAGACACTCAGGTGGGCGATTTGCATAGCGTCTGGGGAACTTGTGGGGACTGGGGCTACTGCGCGCAGCGGTGCATCGGCTCTAAACTCAAGTATCGGATAACCACCCAAGCTATCTTGACATTGCTTTATCCAGCCAATTCTCCCAAAACTCAAAGGAAGTGCCCGCAACTGGTTCGAGGTGAACTATGAAACTTAGTTTACTAGAAGTTCCAGATGGTTTTCAATCGAAGGCGGTCGCTGTTTCGCATTCAAAAGCAGCTGACAGAGGCGTCGATCCACGGCGGTTTGGTGAATCGCATCATTTGGCTGCCTGTCGGCAACCAATCGAGCTTACATGACCTTGACTTTGTAGATGGCATCGATCACAGGTACGTGATCGGACAGAATGCATGAGCTTACGGTGCAACGCAGCATACGCGATCTCTGGGGTCATAATTAGAACTATTTTTGGTTTCATACTCCACCAACGAAGCTGGTTCGAAAAATCGCTATGCCGTGGAACGCCGAAAGGACTAACGGACAAACTATATTTTCTCTTGAAGTCACTACACGCCATACGAAGGTCGATACATTTGAACTTCAGTATAATGCTTCAATAAGCACTGTAGAATTCTCGAGCCAACAAGTGAAACGTCAAAGTACAGGCATAATTGGTAATATTACAGAATCACGTGAGATGGTTTATCCGTTTACTCATCTAGGTAGCTGTGTCACCATTGATAGTCGCAGTACCGAAGAGATTGCTGTCCGCACTGATGAAACTCGAGTGGCATTTCAAGCTTCTCTGACTTGTGGAGGTTGCAGAGTGTATGCTCATTCTTAAGCGAAGGACGTAAAGCGCTGTAATGAGGTCAGCATCATACAATGAGTCAGAAACTTGGCCAGTGATCAGGTTTGATCACCCATTCGTGATATATGGAACATATTGAGGTGTCTGCTGAAATCGCTTCCCATCCACTGACTTAGGCAACCACGCGATATGCATGCCGGCGAGTCGGCATCCTTGGCATGCTTTTCACCAATATTGTGTCGAGTTAGCTGAAACCTCAACGTGGTCGTTCCGTGACATGGCAGAATGTTATGAAAAATCTCACCGATATTGTGAGTCCGGTAGTGTCTTGCCCTTTCCTGCATGGGGTTCTCAATAACCGTAAGGTTATTGGTTAAATTAAGCATCCGGTATTGGGCATTAGCGAAGGCGGGGGCACTTTTGAAATTGTACCCTTAGTTCTGACCCATTATACGACTATAGGTCTTATTGGTTCCACTTTAAGTACTATGCTTTTTGTTATTTAGATAGATGTGGATTGATGTGCTAAATCACATGCTTGGCAAGTCACGTTGGCTGATTAGGGTGAAAATTACAAGACAGAACATTGTGTCAACGTCACGACAGATAAGCTGCCGAAATCACCAGATTTGCAGTCGCACAAATGTAGATGTTCCTCCCGGGAGTTTAACCGGGAGGTGAACTGATGAGTAGACTGTTTGTTCGGCACCATTGTCAGTATGCGTTGGACACGGGGACTATAAATTACTTACTGTAGATGTGTCAGTGCGTTGTCAATTCGCCATTCGAAATGTGGTGAGGTGGGGGGCATTAATCACGTGCGCTTGGGAGGGGGGAAGAAAAAATCTTGTTTGCATTCCAGTCGGCTGTACTGCGTGAACGGTCAGAGTAGGTGGACTCGCAGTGATGTGTTTTAGGTGAGTCTGATGAGATGGCGACAAGAATGCTTGAGGCCATGCAGGACCTGATACAACGTTTTGAGACCGCTTCGCTGACGACGACGATAAGGTCCACTGTACGCTCATGAAATTATTCTAATTGCAAGGTGCATTATCGCTGACATACTTGGGCGTGAGTAGCCGCAGCCGGTTCGAATCATGGCATGCGATTGCACGCGGGTTCACGATTCGCTTCAGAGTAAACTTCGCTCGCTCCACCAATAGGGACATTTTTGATGCTGGTAGATCCCAAATTCCAAACGTCCCTACAGGCTTCGTCCTTTCTTGCACTCTTTATGTAGAGATAGTCGACCAGTGTTCCGGACCAAAGTCTCTTCCTTTACTGATCCATGTCTCACAGATAGAACACCGTGCTCTACAAGCAACGACTGTTACAGCATTAAGAAATCTACTTTGATGTGATTGGGTTTGCGAGACTCTTTTTCAATCCGAACCGTTATTCACTTTGATGTGATGCACCAATATCAACTGACAACGATGGCATCTCCGACATGAAGTTGCACACACGCGCCTTCAGTCGTTGTAAGCTATTCGCAACAGACTTGATCCAGCAACAAATTGATCCGTGCGATGGCTGAGGGGTTGTAAAAGTGGAGCTGTTGGTGTCCGTCGCTTGCTTACTTTGGCACCTGATCTGGGTTTTCGTACGCCATTAGATATTGATGCCTTCACGGCGAGTTACCACGTCACCGAATGAGTGAGAGTGGGGGCCTGAGATCTCATGCAGAGAACAGTGTGTCGTTCTGTTCAACTGAGAATCGTCAAACGCTCAGCTCACCCACATGGCGACTCCATCATCCTGATAACTGCTCCTTCCATCTCGTACTCACACCATACACGGCATCGACCGTCGGCACTTATGAAGTTTGCTAATCATAAGAGCGCATAAGCGCGAACGGCAGTGTAGTTCCCACGGAAAGATTTCACTCGAAAATTGTAGTGTAAGGGCGGGTAGAGTGTGTGGGTTTGCTTACCTAAGCCGCGTCAGACGTTAAGAGGATTGCTGCTAGCGTACACTTCGCGGTACTCCAATAGTGAGGACGATACCACGTCACCTGTGATGTGATGTCGTTAAATCTTGTGAAAAACTGGCTTAAAATGGTTAGTCACCAAAGGTGGAGATCAAGAAGCAAAATGTTACGGTTGTGCGCATCTCGGCAGATTCACTATTTTCACACAGACCAACGAAGGAAAGGGCGTACACTGACTACTTGGGGAGAGCATATTAGTTGAAATTTCGTTTAAGAACGCATGCCATATCACGTATTATAAGCATCACCTAACTCGGTCAGCTTAAAGCAATTTGGCACATTGTAGGTGGTGTAGGGACCGAGGTTGGAGCCCATAGGGACGCTGTCCGAGCTTATTTCCAGCGCTGCCTGTACACAGATTGCAGACATTATACAGATTCGACGAAAGCACTTTGATTGTCTCGTGAACGACCGTTCAAGAGATTGGCTGGGCTGTGTTGCGCGGGCTACAACAACAAGAGACGATATATCCCGACGGCACACCGACACTGGATGGGACGCAAACAACACATGCTCAGCTGCGAAACGGTAACTGTGCCGCTTACAAAGTTATATATATATATATATATATATATATATATATATATATATATATATATATATATCCAGAGAGAGAGGGAAAGGCAGGTGATTGTAACGCAGGTGACACTGTCGTATACCTTTGCAAGTTAACTCATTATTAGCGATATTAAAAACCACATAATAAATTCATACACTTGGTCTGGCTTTTCGTCAAAGACAACTGTATATGAGTGTAATCAACGCAACACATAATGAGCACTGGCTTCCAATCTGCTCTACCTGCCTTGGTTGCGTGACCCCACTTGCGGAAAGCAGATTAGTTGATCTCCGTTTATGATATCTTGTCCCTCGTTGAACACATGTCATATCACGCAATCTAAGCGGGTTATCCTATCAATATTTTGCGTTTTGACTGCAGATAATATGATGGTAAAATCAACGAAATTTAGAAGAGCAGTCAACGACTGACTTATTAGGATTGGCATTCGGTATGGTGTAGTCATTACACTGTAATGGGTAGATTTTTGGATAAAAAACGTTAATCCCTTTAAAGTATATTCCTTAAAACAACCGGTTGCAATCGCCCCTATGACACAGCGCTTCAAGCGGATGTCATCGGATGTCGATGCAATCATAGCTAGTTAAATGCAGGTATAGCATGCAAACCAGGGAGAAGACCGATGGTCGAGTAGGAAAGTGTATTACACAACACGTAGTCTCTATAATAGGAAATCAGTAGTGTAAAAAGAGGAAAAAGAGAAGTTACGGTTAACCGTTTCCTTCGAGATATCTTCCGTCTTCGGTAACTGCGCAGGAGTGGTGCTCTACAATGCAAACGGGAGAAGTACCGTCAGGATAACGATTCGAATTCAATCACGCGCCACAAAACAGTTTCGATCACACTTTACACTGCACCCCCCTTTAAGTGGGCAACGTCCTCGTTGCCACGCCGTAACCTCCTTTCGCCGGCACTTCCATTTCAATCGCTACTTCTGTGGACGGATTGTCTGAGTCCATAGCTACTTGCCCAGTCACCGTATGGAATGGTTTGAGCCGATTGAAGTGTACAATCATGGGTTGAGCGACGGGATTGTTAGGGTCCTTGATGACACAGTTTAGGTCTGATATTACGCGCTGTACGACATACGGCCCAGCCCACTCATGACATAGCTTAGTCGGTACTCCAGATGCTGGTACCTGATGCAGATACACAACATCGCCAGTCTTCAAAGGGACCCCAAAAGTCTTCTTGTCATAATAGTCTTTTTGTCGTCGATGCGCGTTCGCCAAATGAACACGTGCTGATTGGTGCGTCTGTTGAAGCGAATTGAGCAGCTTGCTAACGTACTATGTTACTGACGGATGTGGCTGCTGAGAAGTTGGTAGGCGTATATCCGAAGGCAATCGAACTTCTCTTACGGTCCACATAAAAAATGGTGTTTGCCCTGTAGAAGAATGACCGGTGCTCCGGTAGGCCAACAGACATTTGGATAACATGGTGTCCCACTCACTGATATTCTGGTCAACGAAAGCTTTCAGTAACAGCTTCAGAGAACGATTAGTGCGCTCAACCTGTCCGTTGCCTTGGGGATGATCAGCCGTCGTTCGAGTCTTGTCTATGCCGAGCACTCTACATAGCTCTCGTACCAGCGAACTCTCAAAGCTGGACCCCCTATCAGAGTGCAGTTGTCCCGGTGCACTCCACTGACAGATCCACTGATTTACCATCGCCGTAGTCACTGTCACCGTATCAGCCTGTGAGAGCGGAACCGCCTCACACCATTTTGTAAAGTAGTCAACCATTACCAGAATGTAACGATTGCCTCGCGGTGTTTCTCGGAGAGGGCCGATAAGATCTACACCAACTATCTCATTCGGGTATCCTGCTACAATAGGTTGTAGTGGCGCTCTTTGGGTAATGTGTGGGTTTTTAAAGGTGGCACAAGTCTCACATGACTGGCAAAAATTTATGACGTCTCTTCGCTGATGTGGCCACCAGAAACGTTGACGCGCTGCTGACTCAAGTTTGTTGATTCCCGCATGACCAAGTTGTTTATGCAGCTCCGACAGCACTTCACTAACTAGTGTCCGTGGGACCACGATTCTTCTGGCGTAAGTTGGACCGAAATCAAACACTAGCACCCCTTCTTCCATGGACAACTTCTCCCACATCGCCCACAAGCAACGAGCTTCGTAACTCTTTCCCTCCATTTCTTTCGAGGTAGGTCTGCCTCCTCCTGAACGGCGCTTATCGTAAATAAGTGAGATGTCGGGGTCTGACGCTTGGGCTTCTTGCCAACGCCCGTACTCCGCACGTTGAAGGTTAACCAGAGCTACGTGTTGTGTAATGCAGGATGGGCAGTCGCCGTGATTTCGGATCGGGATCCTGGAGAGGGCGTCTGCATTGGCGTGTTTAGCGCCAGGCCGGTGTTGACACTCGAAGTCGTACTCCTGCAACTGTTCCTGCCATCTCGCAATCTGACCTTCAGGATCCTTGAAGTTCTGTAGCCAACGGAGTGATTGATGGTCTGTACGTACCACAAATTTCCTCCCCAGAAGGTAATGCCGATTCTGTTTTATGAAAAATATCAAGGCCAACATTTCTTTTCAGGTTGTACAGTAATTCCTTTCCCTGGAAGTGAGACTCCGGCTACCGTACGACACAACTCGTTCTACTCCGTCCGTACCTTTTTGTGACAGCACTGCTCCAGTAGCGTGATCACTTGCGTCCGTGTCTAAAATAAACTCTCCGGCAGATGTTGATATATCTGGAAAGCGGGGGTTACAGAAGGACTCGCGGAGCCGGTCGAACGCCTCCTGACATTCTGCAGACCACACAAAAAGACTATTCTTTTGAAGTAAAGCATTCAATGGTGCGGCGATCTCAGCAAAACCTTTAATAAAACGCCTATAGTATGAGGCCAAACCAAGAAAACTACGTAGCTGGTCGACGCTGACGGGTATTGGCCATGATTTCACTTGCTCGGTTTTACGGGGATCTGTCTGAATACCTGTTCTCGAGATGATATGTCCAAGATAAGTCACCTTTTCCTGTAACACGTGACACTTTGTCGGTTGAAGTTTGAGACCCACGTCGATAAGTCGCGATAGCACATCTGCTAGATTGCTCAAATGATCATCCTTCGTTTTCCCATGGACAATGACATCATCCAGATAAACAAGACATTTATGGGGGACCAAGTCATCTAACACTCGCTGCATGAGGCGTTGAAATGTAGCAGGTGCGTTTGCTAGCCCGAAAGGCATGGTTTGAAACTCGTAGAGACCAGACGGTACCACAAAAGCCGTTTTCGCTTGGTCAGTCTCCTCGACTTCGACCTGCCAGTAACCGGAGGCCAGGTCTAAGGTACTAAAGTAAGCCGATCCTCCCAGTGCGTCGAACAGATCATCGATCCTAGGTAACGGAAATGCGTCCTTGCGAGTGACTTCATTTAATCGTCTATAATCTACGCATAACCGAAAACCACCATCTTTCTTTTTGACCAGCACAACCGGAGAAGCCCAGGGGGAAGTGGAGGGACGCACAACGTTTTTTTTCAACATCTCATCTATAAGCAGTTGTAACTCACTCTGCCAGTGTAACGGGATCCGTCGTGGAGGTGACTTTATTGGACGCGCGCTACCAGTATCAATCGAATGTTTCACGACACCGGTCCGACCTATATCTCCTGGGCGCCAGGCAAATGCCTCAGAGTGGTTGCGTAATATCTCTTTTAATCTCTCCAAAGTTCGCTTGTCAACAGGCGAGCCGAGTGCTGAGACAAAGTCGTTTATGCATTGTTCATTATCAGCAGTATCCTCCCAGATTGCAAACGTTTCTACCTTGTCACCACGATAAGGCCTGAGCAACACGGTATAGGTATCCGTGCTTAGCTGAAACTTATCCAGGTCTAATCTACATCTCAACCGGCTCAATAGATCCATTCCAATGATGACACTGAAAGGTATCCTATCAGCAACAACGAACTCGTGGTGAAATGTATCACTCGCTATCTCGACTAAAGCAGTGACTGTTTCACGAACAGGGAGAGATCCCCCGTTTGCCGCGGTCAAACGGTAACGGCAGGGAGCCCGCGTACAGTTAGTTAGTTGTGACGTAGAATCAGACCTAATCAAGCTTTTGCAGGCGCCAGTGTCGATCAAACCAATCAATGGGATTCCGGAAACTCGCAGTTCTAAAGTTAACGACAAAGTCACCGACGAGGGGCAAGTGACAGCGGGTATGAAATCAGAAATTGCAGAATGTCGCTCACCTTCTGGTTTGCTGTGGACAGGATATGTTTCACGGTATCCTTGCTCCAGTGGCCGTGGGCGAGCTCCTCTGAAATAGGGCTGGTGTGGGCGTCGAGGGCGAGGGAGCCCACGATTCGCAATTCTCGGTTCTGAAAGCTTGTACTCAGGTTCGCAACGGTTCCCCACGGCACAACAACACGATGATGTAGGACGCATGGCGGCATCGACTCTTTCCAATTTCTCAGCCAATTCCACGGCCGCACCCCAACTCTCCGGCGGATTTAACAACAACTCACGACGAATCGATGGTATTCGGACTCCATCTACGAATTGTTGCAATATTCGTTTTTCCCGGATCTCGGGAACGTCGTCTGAAAATGCGTATCCTCCAAGGCGCCGCAGCTCCCTTGTGAGCGACCGTACCGTTTCACCGGGGTGCTGAACGCGAGCATGGAAAGCTTGCCTCCACTGCGTAGGCAGAAGCGGGGAATCGAGAAGTTTTGACAGTGCGTCGAACGTGTTGTCATCAACCCCGTTTTCCAGCACATCGCTATCAGCCACAATGTCCAATGCCTACTCTGAGAGGAGTCCTAGCAAGACGCAACCTCTCATTTCGTTGGGGCAGTGTCTGACATATGCCCTGGCATGTTTCGACCAGGTGGTGAAAGTCATTCCCAAGCAGAATTTCTCCGGCGCAGGGAGTGAAGGGATACATCTGACCTTCGTAGACTGCGGAGTAGCATTGCTAGTTTTGGCCAGATCTCCATCGCGCTTCCAAGCGGCGAATTCGCTCTGATCCTTTGGTACGGCGACCTTTCGATTTGACGAATTCGACATTTTCCGCGGGGATCCTGGCAGGGTCCGCCAAGTTGTAGTATGCAAACCAGGGAGAAGACCGATGGTCGAGTAGGAAAGTGTATTACACAACACGTTGTCTCTATAATAGGAAATCAGAAGTGTAAAAAGAGGAAAAAGAGAAGTTACGGATAACCGGTTCTTTCGAGATATCATCCGTCTTCGGTAACAGCGCAGGAGTGGTGCTCTACAATGCAAACGGGAGATGTACCGTCAGGATAACGATTCGAATTCAATCACGCGCCACAAAACAGTTTCGATCACACTTTACACATGTTCTCTGGGGTCACGGTAATAAGTCTAATGAGCATAACACTATACCAGTAGTATTAGACACTGTTACAAGATTCATTTTCTCACAGACAAGCGTTCATTCGACAGTCAATTCATCGAAAAGTGCAGGGTTTGCTGCCTAGCGTCTTCCCTAAACAACGACCTTTATGGACCGGTGAGGTTTCTCTCTTGACTCAGCTAAGCAAACCATGGCGAACTCACCGTAGCGCACACTGACATGAGCCGATCAGCGTCCAATGATTGAATCCGTCATATTCGCCTCACATTGGTTGTCTGTCCGGCTACTATGATCTATCTAATTCCCACAGGCCACTCCCATCAGAGGCACGTTAACCAGACAAGCAGCAGGTAACAAGCCAAAACATTCCCTTCCTTTCTAATACTCCACCATCTGGTTTAGACAACATCACCTTCACTGCGGAAGCTGTGTTGAAGAAGTTGTTATCCTTGCGTATCCACAGTTCTCCCGGAGCCGACAACATCCGATCAAAGGCTCCGCAGGCGGTAGCTAGTGATCTAGCAGAACCAACTGCTGTTTTCTATCAGCGATGTCTAGAGGAAAACCTTATTCCACCAGTATGGAAGCGAGGGGTCATCACTCCTATCCATAAAGGAGGTAGCCGCACTGATCCTGCCAACTACCGTCCAATAACACTACTACGCATAATATCCAAAGTGATGGAATCAATCTGAGACTGAGACTGAGACTGTATTTAAGAGCAAGTAGAAAGGTTTCTGTACAACTCTATCGAATTACGAAAAATCAAAAGTTACTTGTGAATTATCAGCAGTTGTGTCTGGTCCGTTAATTGTTTATCCGTGTTCGGTTAGAAATTTGTACTAGCGTCATTATTTCCGGACATACAATGTCTTCTTTTGGCACTGTATGTGCATCGTTTCACAAAAGCACAGGTTTCCAAAATAACCGTCGATACGGGTTTTAAAACACTTCACAGAATCGGCCTCTATTAATCCTTCAGGTAGTGTATTCCATAAGTTTACGATTCTTCGTTCGATACAAAGCTGATGTGATACTTTGTTCATGCTGGGGACCCTGAATTTGTAACGATGTCCTCGGGTGTTACAGGGTTCTCGCAGGTGAAATATTGGCCGCAGTATGGAGAAGTGATACAAGTGCAGTACTCGATGGGTCATAATAAGATCAATTCTTACTAGGCGATAGGATAGTGTGTAGAGTCCGAGCCTTTCACAACGTTTTTCATACGGAAGCTTTCGTAGACTTGGTATCATTCTAGTTGCGATATGCTGTATTTTCTCCAGTTTTTCAGTTTACCACTGGGTTATCGGATGGTAAGCTGGGGCACCGTATTCAAGGATTGGTCTAATGAGCGAGGTGAATAGACGAGGGACGGTTTCTTCGGACCATGTGGAGAAACTGCGTCTTAATGCCTAGAGCATACGAAGTCCCGCACGGTACAATTTCTCTGTATTTTCTAGTGATCTTAAATCATATCGTGAGAGAACTCCTAAGTCTCTGACAGATGTGTTGGGATGGAGCAACTGGCCGTCCAAGGTGTATGATCGAGTGGCTGGACGTCTGGTGATACTGATGAACTCCGACTTGCTTGCGTTAAGAGGGAGTTGCATTTCAGTGGACCACGTTGACAGTCGCTCTAAGTCATGCTGGAGGCGAGCGCAGTCGTCCTGGTTTTCAATGATCCTCCAGATTTTCAAATCATCTGCAAACAGGACACATGGTGACTGGAGCTGCTGCGGAAGATCGTTGATGTGAATAAGAAATAATACTGGCCCAAGTACAGTTCCTTGAGGCACGCCACTAGTCGATGGGAACCAGTCTGTCAGATAGTCATTGACCTGTACTCTAAACTTTCGTCCCACAATAAACTCTTGTAACCACTGAAGTAACGTGCCACCGACTCCGTATGTCCTCAGTTTACCAAGGAGTACCTCGTGGTTCACTCTGTCAAACGCGTTACTAAAGTCGATGTACACCACGTCAACATCCTTCTGTTCATTGAGAGCTCGAACCCACTGGTGGTTTGCGTACATCAAGTTGGTGATGCAGGATCGCCCTTTCGTAAAGCCGTGTTGCGTTGGCGTCAATACGTCCATCGATTCGAAGAACGACAGCAGACACTTTTTCACAACCTTCTCGAGAACTTTGGATAATACCGAAGTCAAACAGATCGGTCTATAGTTCTCTATTTTACTCGGATCACCACCCTTTGGAAGCGGTTTAACTATCGAGCATTTCCAGTCGTTCGGGACGGATCCTTCAGAGAGCGATCTATTGAAAATGTTTGTCACAGCTGGTGAGATGATAATCGATAGGGACTTGAGTATTAGTGGGTGAAGTCCGTCGCAGATGCGCTGATGCAGTATCTGGAAAGTCATAACTTAATAGCTCCAGAGCAACATGGATTTCGTCAAAAGCATTCGTGTAATACTAACCTATTAATTACACGTAATAGCTGGACTGAAGCAGTTGATGATGGAATGGGAGTCGATGTCATCTACCTGAACTTTTCACAAGCGTTTGATCGCTTAGACCACCGAATTCTCCTTCAGAAGCTTAGGAACTACGGCATTGGCGACCCGAACATGAGTTGGATCAGCAATTTTCTACACGAATGACGGCTAGTGGTGAGGGTCCGAGAATCATTGTCTGATGCAATCGGTGTGCCGTGTGGTGTACCACAAGGCTCGGTTGTTGGACCTCGTCTATTCTTGGTGTTCATTAACGATTTGGCGAGATCAATTGCTTCCGATTTCCTATTTTTCGCTGATGATATCAACATATGACGAAGGATCAGTGGACCGGACGACCAGGAAATGCTCCAGTGGGATCTGAACACAGTGTCGAACTGGTCAGTTCAAGATGCCCTACCATTCAACGTAGACAAATGTCGCATTGTACAATTACTCCATAGACATAACTACACCTATTTACTTGGGACAAACGGATTGCAGACCAGCTCCCAGGAACGTGACCTTGGTGTGCTCGTACAGAGCGACCTCAACTACTCAAAACAGGCTGAGGTAGCTGTGAAAAGAGGTAATCAGCACGTCGGCATGCTGCATAGGGCATTCGGTAGATTTGACCCATCCAGCTTCCCAATGATGCACAATTCCTACGTGCGCCCACATGTTGAATACACAATGCAAGCTTAGCAACCTTGGTTGAAGCGCGACCTAGAAGCGTTAGGAGCACCACAACGAAGAGCAACAAAGAATGTAGGGGCCTGCGCTGTCACTCTTACCACCGAAGGCTGAAGTTACTGGGACTATTCTGCGGACGCTATCGAAGGCTGCGCGGCAATCTCATATTAGCCTATCCGATAATGAGTGACCCCAACCACGTATGCCTCCATTTGCTGAAACTTAGCCACAACACGCAGCTTAGGGGTAACTGCTTAAAATTGAAGGAACAATATAGCCGTCTAGAGTGTCGACATAATTACTTTTCCCTTTGGGTTTGTCAACCCTGGAAAGCACTCCCAGACTCAGTTAAATCCTCCTCTACCTTGGATGTTTTCAACAACTGATTAGAGGTTGCTCTTAGCTCCTAGCCTTTTGTTACCTAAACTCCTCTATTGTGGATTACGCCAAGCATGTTTTCCAACAGGCTTTATGTATCCAATGGACCCAAGTGAGCGACCATATTTTACTTTTCTGATGCCTTACATCAACGATCATTGCACCCCAGTGTCTTTCTGAACGTTTACGCTCGATTTTTGTTAATTTTACACTGATGTTATTTATCAAAGTATTCATCTAGACAGACGTTCGGTAGATGACTCAGATACATTTTGATTTCATCATAGGCACCCCAACCATCCTACGGGATGTGTCAAGCACTTGCTTTTATCCCGTGATAATTCATTATTCATTGTTCAAATG